GGACCGGTGCGAACCGGCTGAATCCCACCACTGTAACTAAGGTATACTATTTCACAACTGTGCGTCTTAACAATAGCCCTGCAGTGTATTTGCTATTGGTAAAGATTCTGTCATAATGCTGTACGTTCAAAGCACACCACTCCTCCTTGCATTTTCCCATTATTCATCTAATGTATGAAGGTGATCTGATTCAACAACCCAGTTACACATAAGTCCATATGTGCTGTTTCCAATGGCTTGACCTGTATGTCTTCATATGGAATAGCAGTTTCATTCTCCAGCTGTTTGAAGTATAGGGCAGTTGATCATATATATACATGTCATTTGTATTACTTTTTATGATGGAAATTATTCTTGATTATGTTGCATACTGTTGCCTGAGACATGTAGACTGCTATTACAAAAAAAAACAAAAACACATTACTGGAATTCTCAACAATATGTGCATTGTATGTATCTACTTCAAATTGGTTAGTTTTAAGCTTTACCAAGATGCATTCTATTTTATATTCTGCAATCTTTGATGTACATAATATATATTTACTAATTAAAACTGTCTGGTCTGCATAATAGAAAATCAAGTAACATGTAAACATTGGATGACTAAAGCCTGTTATAAACTGACTGGTAAAAATGTGAAGACTTATTTATGAATAGGTGGAGATCCAGGAAAGAGAATTAAAACAGGATGATTCTATAGTGACTGTTGAGTTATTTGACCCAAAATCTCAGAATACACAATATGAGTCATTAGAGAGTTCTGCTGAGCAACTATTTATCCAGGTATTTTAATACAACTTATACATAGTTTATACACAGTTCAATTATGTACAATGTTTATCATTTTACTGTAGATCAGATTATTTTACATGTTTTAAGCATTGTTTGGATTTCTTTTAGTTAACTAAGTTTTTTAGGTTTTACTAACAGGCATCTTTTTTCTTTCTTCTGTAATAAGTTACTGTAACTATCCATTGACAGTTTTGTTTGAATGTCTTAGGCTAGTGAATTTATATTAATTATACTAAAATATTTGTTTATATGTAGATGCTTTAATTTCTTTGACTATAATTATGAAAGACATAGAACATTGTAATTCAATATAGATAAACAATTTAGTATGAAACTGGAAGTTTTAGTTTAGAGTTTACCACCTGGCTACTTAGCTACCACTATAAGAGAAATTCATCACTTATACAAAAACTCTTGCATGTTTCATATGAGAAAACTGCTCTTTGATTGATCAGTAACAGTTTCTCCCCGAAGTAATGAAATAGTATATTGAAGTGTACATGTTGTCGGTCTCAGCAGATAGTGCTACTGAAGTTTTATATATTATCTAAGACATTATCCCACAACTCATATTGTCTAAATGTACAGAAATTAAATTGTTTGAGAGAAATTAGTACAGATAATTTGAAAAAAAATGTCATGATCTTTCCAATGTAGCTAATGTAGTTTTTTTGATGAGGGCTTTCAGGTTAGTTTCAGAGTACTATTTGATTTATAAACTAATAGTATGAAATGATATACAATAATTGTTTTGGAAATCATAATCGAAATAACTTAAAGTGTAATGGTATTAAAATTTTTTTTTATAGATAACACAATAAGATCAGTGTTAGTCTTAGTTTCACTTATGGTAAGAATATGATTGATGAATTTGATATTTGTATGCTGCTTAGAAGTTAGTCTTCAACCATATTGACTACAAACAGATACAAAACAAAAACTTAAGTGAAAATTTTACACAAACAACTACAAAGAACTTATTTTCTACCATTAGTTTTTGTACCAGTTAAAAAACTCTGGAACATAAAAAGCAAACAGTAAATATTCTCCTACAATTCACTCAATGAAAAGGAATTACACAGACAAATGAACATTCTGAATCTGAAATGCCTGTAATCGTAGTTTTTTGGTTAAAGAACTGTGGTGTCTACTTTTCTATTAGGAAGAAGTTTTCAAGGATATTGAGCACATTGAAAAAGAAGACTTTCCACTGAAAATTCAGTTGTCAGCCCAACCATCTCAAAAGGTACAATTTGAAATGTCTAAGATTTTTGATAGGAAAATTTCCATCAAAGTAATCTTCCCATACAAGTTTTCTGTCATCTTGAGGTACATTTGGTGATTTATACAAGAGTTTAACTGATTATATGAAAGTAGCTCATTCTCGGAGGTAATAAGAGCGTTTATAGGAAATATAAATGATAGATTATGTGGATACCAGATAACAAAGAACTGACCAGAAAATAGTTGGGGAAAGATAGATTAAAGTGGACTTATGCTGTCCAAGGTACAATACCAGATCTGTACATTATATACTTTTCAATAGTTTTACTAAAGTTAGTACACAGTTCTTAAACATTTGATGAATGATATGTGTATGTAAAGAAATGGGTCATGAGCATATTCTTCAGTTCAGCTAATTACACCTGTCATGTAAATTCTGACCACTTTATTTTTAGAAGGATGTTTATCGTAAGCATGATGAAGAAACTATCTTTTTACTGTCAGAGGAAACACCTCAGAAAACAAAGACACAATATCAAACTCCATGGCATTCTGAAGAGCATATTTTTATCCAAGTAAGCCATATCACAGATTCTTCCAGTTGAAAGAAAGAAGTAAATATATATATTCTTACAACAGTTTGTGTTACAATTAATTTTTTGGACCACATAAATACAAAACATAGCGAAATAATAACATTTTATACAATATCTTTAGGAATTTCATAAAGCTAAGTCTGAGGCTTCATCTTATATGCTTTATTTTAAAAAAATAGCTTTGACTTTGTGAAATAAAATAAAATATTAGATACCTTTTAATTATATGATTATGGAAATGACAACTTTTAGAATACATATAATTAGTAAAAAATTAAATGTTATGGTTTGTATAAGAATTACTGTGCTACTATTTTATTTATTTTGATGAATGTTATCAGATTTCCTAGTAAAATTCTTTGCTTAATTGTGATATTTTTGTGTTTTTCAACAGGAAGGGAAAAGTTTGTGCATATCATTCAATGCATATATATATTTAATTCAAAATGTAAATCCTAAATGCAGGAAGATTTGTTAAGAAATATGAAATGGATGAGGAAAGGCATAATAGTGTGATTATAATTTTGCAAATGTTTCTTTTAGAAGGACAGTTCTTCTAATATTGAATATGAAGAAGAAGACAATTCCTTGAAAATTAAGATAGATGATAAACTATCTAAACGGTCACAACTTGAGATACCAGTGGAATCTGCTGAGCAGATTTCAATCCAGGTACCAGCATGCTCACTTTTATAAAATATGTATATTTGCACAAACAGCATGATGGCATAAACTGTTATTAGATGATTCAATCGAATTTAGAAAAACTAGAATTTATAACATTTTTCATTGAAATAAAATAATGTATGTTATATCACATTTATCTAAAGTGTTTTTAGCACAGTTTTGATAATTTTTCAAGAATGTTTCTAGTAATGCATACACAGATAGGTTGTAATTTTGCAAATATTTCTTTTAGTTTTAAAGAATATGTATAGAATTATTGGTACAATAGTAAAAAAGGAATTTATTGTGCAATGTGGGATATGTATTTTAATTTTATTTTTATATTATTAATAGTACTTCTTCATACTGGTAACACAGGCCTGCAAATTTATTCTCTATAAAAGTTGTATAGGTTTTAATAACAGATTTTCCATAATTCAGCTGTGCATATTTCAAAAATAATATTCTTTTTTTTTCTTCTATCATATAAGGATTTTTTACAAATCCGGAAGAAAAAAAACTCTTACTTAGATCAAATTATTATTTCGTTTACCACAATGAACATTTTTTATTACTACGTTTGTTAACAGAATTATAAACAAACGGAAGAAAAGGGAAGAACATCGATGACAAATGAATATGCATCCTCATTCATCGTGTTGTGGTCTTTCTTTTATGTATTGTGTCTGGAGCATCTTGTTTCAATGACCAGCAGTAATCAGCCATCATGCTGTTGTTCCACCTTCTCTGATACCTCCTCTTCATTTCCCTGATGCTTGATGAAACCTTTCCCCTTGTTCTTTGCTGACAGCACTGAGATATTCAGGGAAGTAGTAAATATGGGAGTGTAAAAAATGAACTTTCAAGCTCATTTTACAACACAACTCTTTGAATTTATTAAGCATGTTATTGACAATATTTCCATAATTTGGGTCCTTGTTGTTTCCTAAAAAATTGTCGGTATCATCTTTAAAAGCAATCTACGCTTCTTTTTCAACTTTCCTCATTGTCCTTTCGAACTGTTCATCCAAAGTCATTTTCCTAATTTGAGGCCCAACAAAAATCCTTTCTTTACATTTTGCTTCTGAAAGAGCTGGGAATTGCCCACATAGATACTTGAAACAGTTACCATCTTTGTTTAATGCCTTTACAAACTGCTTCATCAAGCCTAATTTTATGTGAAGTGGAGGTAATAGGACTTTCTTTGTGTCAACCAAACTTTCACGTTCAGTGTTTTTCAATCCTGGTAACAGACTGACTCTGTGTGGCCATTGCTTCTCTGTCCAGTGCTGATTTCATGCTCTACTGT